GAAGGAAGGAAGGAAGGAAGGAAGGAAGGAAGGAAGATTTCTGATGCTCCCTGCCAGCCTCCCACAAGCAAAGTCAATGGGGAAGCTGGCAGCAAGTTCTAAGTTGCTCATACTCCCACTGCTTTTTTGCCCTTGGTCATTCCATTTCTCTGTTTAGATAAGGAAATATCTCTGAAACAATGACTCAACAGGTCACGGGGTTGTCTAGTATTGGTTAAAATTAAGCATCCATAAATGTTACATGTAAAAGACCCTGTTCTTCAGGTGCAGGATCTTTTTTCCCCACATCACAAGCTGTGCTTCAGAATTTTCAGCAGAGCATCTCTGTTCCCTGACAGCAAGTAAACGGAGCCTGCAAAGCAGTAGAAATATTCATTTATTCATGCTAGCTTTCTGGGTGCGCATGTGCACACTCACACGCATATAAAAGAGGCACCTTTTACAAATGAAAGCTTAGTTATGGTGTGTCTGTGTGTGTGTGTTTTTTTAAGAACACCCAAACTTAGATGTAATGGCAATAGTTGTTGATGGGACGAATTCTCTCTCTTCACGCTTCTTGGCAGGCTCAGCTGAAGTTAGAGCCCAACTCTTAACAGAAATTAATTATCCGTTTTCTCATGCTGGGAGTTAGAATAAAACCTACCTGTGATATTAGCAGAAGACAAGAGGTTAAAAAAGGAAGTGACCTAGGAATGAGGAGGAAACACAGCAAGATCGCCAAGCATCGTTTTAAAAATTAATAGCTGTTTATCCCAAGGTAACTTGAGAAATTGAAATCACTTCTAAATATGTACGCATCTTGGACAGGACAAGACAGCACATAAAATTGTTGTGAGGTAGAGGAAGGACTAAATTATTTCTCTTATGCTTTTACAGAAAAAAAAAAAGAGAAATTTCATTTCGATCATGCATTTCATCAAACTAGAGCTTTCCTCTCATTTCAAAGAAGGAGGAACGTGGCCTTTTTTTCCTGCACAGTGCTGATGAATCTGCCACTGGGTCAGGATAGAACAACCTGTGTGACCAACAGCCCTGAAATTAATAAACCACTCTGTATTCATACTTTCCCGCCTGCGCATTTGTTGTTTGGTGGGCTGCCTCTCCCCCCGCCACATCCAGTTTTAAAGAATTAATTTCATGCACTCCAACTCTTTGGTACTTCCTTTAAAGGAACAGTAGGGAACCTTTGCTCCTACTATAGCAGTGTTTCTCAACCTTGGCAACTTGAAGATGTGTGGACTTCAACTCCCAGAATTCCCCCCACACTTTTGGTGGCGGGGGGATGACTGGGGATTGTAGGACACACATCTTCACTTTCCACTGGTGGTGAATCAC